TCTCGAGATGGCCGTAAATGACACTTTTATATAGTAAAATTCATCATCATCATATTACCATTATAGTCAAAATGAAACGCCAACAAATTTCTCATGATCTTTTATCAGGGGTCTACTTAATCTCCAGGACAACAGCTGTAATCACAACTAGTATCGTATTGTCGGTGCCACAGTACTGTACGCACAAGCTATGTTTGCGACCGGAGATGTGCGTCCTGTTGTTGAATTACCTTGCTAGTACAAACATATCACCTGAAAGAAACTATATTATTATTACCTTATTGGTTAAAGTTTGTAAAATACATTTCTCATTATTATTGAATTACAATATAAGTAATTATTATTAAAATTTGTTAATAGTTTTAATGCTCTTCTTGTATTTGTTAGTATATATATTTTTAATATATTTTTTTGTGCATACAGTACCATGCATAGAAATTTATTTTCATTGATGTAAATTTACATAATATATAGGCAGTACTGTATTAGGCCTAATGTGCATCTGGAAAGTATCAGAACAGGTGGGGATCCAGACTCACTCCCTCTGTCTGGTACAGATGGATCCATGAGGGTGGTTTAGGTCTACTTTTTAAATCTCTCACCCTGACCTCTGCTGTCCTGATAGTCTAAATCCATGTCTGGCCAAACTTGAGGTATTATCACACTAAATAGTCAATAATTTGTATATAAAATAAATAAAATTGTAATGGACCGTAAGAATGAATCCACCTTGAAAATATACGAATAGTAGATAGTAACAGTTTGAAAATTATGGTTGTACTTTAATATAAATTGATTGTGTTGGAATGTGTTGTTTTTGTCTTTCACTGGTACTGGTTTATAATATAAAGCATGTCTCCTATGATGTCTTAATATAGTTTGTTGTTGATAAAGAATTTTTCCTCGAGATTTAATATGAATAAAGTAATTCTATATAATAGCAAACTGCCATGTCTTATTTATGATTTATAATGTCTATTCGTCTGGGACTAAATACCACAGTCAAACATTTCCCTTAATTTTTATGCTCGTCTCCAAGTTTTACCACGATTCTCTGTTTTATCAATACTGTATTCTAAGCATTGGCTGGAGCCTACGTTTCGTCAGTATCTTAAACTAATTCACACGATTCTGGAACTGACAAAAAATTGACTGTGGAGGTGTAATTACGTCAACACGTTTAAAGTAAACTAGTGCCCTGGCTAAAGTACGGTCGCCCACAATTTATGAAAAAAATACGAGTAACGTACACTTTGTACAGTATACAGGTAACAAAGTGTATACTGTATGTGTTCAACCGAATAAAATGTTATAATGCCATGTATTCAAAGTTTGTGCATAGTCTTACCGACCATTCGATATCAACCAAATCTGTATTGCACTATAACAAAGCCTAAGGTGAAAATCATAAAATAATGGTAACAGTAATAAAAGTCCTAAAAATTCCAGTATTACAAAGTCCTAAAAATTCCAGTATTACAAAGTCCTAAAAATTCCAGTATTATAACTACAATAACAAAAGGCACCGGTCCGCGCGTTCCTCCATGCTTAAATACGGTTCAGTCGCAAGTTATATTGGGTTTTTTGGAAGAGCTAATAAGATTTAAATTTTTGAATGATTTGTACAAAACAAATTATTATTTAGAATGTTCATTTGCAGAGACGTAGCCAGGATTTTGAAAAGTGGGGAGATGTGTATAAGAGACAGC